ACATCCCTGCCAGCTCCTCCGCCCATCAGATGGAGATAAATCACTTGGAAGGAGCAAATCTCCATTCATTTAAAACCCTTTTAATTTATTTTTAAAAAATAGCGCTAATAAATTAAAAACGTCTCCCAGAAGGGCTGAATTCAAAACCCTCTGGCTCCAGGCGTTTTATCTGCCTAACCTTGCCTCACAGGAAATGCCCTTACCACAGCACTCACCCCATTATCTGGGTAATTAGTCGAGTCTGTAAATGCAGAGCAGGGCTGGAACCTACCAGCTCCTCCAGAGAGTTGGGTTTTCTTTGGGAGAGAAGACCAAAAAAAAAAAAAAAAAGAAAGAAAATTAATATGAAGCGCACCTCAGGCAATGAAGGCAGGAAGAAGGAAATGGGAAATATCTCCAGCACAGCTCATGCAAGGGTTGTTTAACCCTTTTAGGGCCAGGCAGGCTTTGCTGTTCACCTGGAAAATTGTCTGCCAAAGCGCTACCTTACTCCTCAAGTGGATTTCTCTCCATCAGCGTGTTTAATTCGACACCTTTTGTGCAATCTCTCGATGCCGACCCCAGTCTGTGCAATCCCCAAAGCAGCTGGTAGGTTTGGCTCCCCAAGGATGTCCTGTTTGCTGCTCTGAGCTGCTCTGGTGCTTCTTCAGCATCCTGATGTTCCAGCCCTGCAGTGTCAGCGTGGGCAGCTCATCAGATCCCAACCTGCCCTGTCAGAGGATGGAAGGGACTTCAGGACAGACTTTGGTATCTAGATTGAGGAGATGGAGAAAAGAAGGGGACAGGTGGTTTTTGGGAGAGTGACCTTGGTTTCATGGGTCCCTGTTCCTGGTGCCAGAACAGAACTATGGAGTTGGTTGTCTGCTCTGATCATCGTGTAAATGGAAAGTGACTTTTCCAACCTTAATGATCCTGTGATTCTATAAAATGTGGCACCTGGTTGTGCACTTTTCGTGTTCTGGACTAATCTGGCAGCTCTTCCCAGCTCAGGCTCAGCCACAAGCCATGAGCTGGGTGCGAGGTGTCTGTGTAAAACTGTCTGGCCAGTGCTGGGCAGGAGGTCAAACTGCATGGTCACAACAGCCCCCTTTGGGCTTCCAGACTACCAATTAAATCATTCCCAGTGCTTGATTTGGCCACAGTAGCCAGCAGGACTGGATAGCAGCAGTGATAATTACATTTACTGGCAGCTGGATGAGATGCCAGCACAGGACAGGTGGAAATGCAGGTCCTCAGGAGAGGCTGCATAAAGTCCCCCCCACCAGGCACTGTGGTAACATCTCCAACTCCACTGGGACTGAAGCAGTCAGTAAATGTCCCATCTCCAGTTCCTAATCTCACTGCATCTTCAGGTTTATTAGCTGCAAATTTGTGGTGTTTTGTGGCTTATGGAAGAATTTATAGTACTATATAATTTTCTTTTTTTTTTTTTTTTTTTGGCTTCCTGTGTGGAACCACTAATAGTCCCTAACAGGCAGAAAATTGACCTGAGACTCTTTCCCCTCCTTCTCTCCTTTTGGCCTAACTGAAGATATTAATAGTTCCAGGCTGCATGTTGTCAGCTTCAAATCACCCTGGCAATTAAACCCCAAAATAACTGTGCCTTTGATGTCAATTTGCTTTTATTTCTAAATAAACAAGAGGGTTGGTTAAGATCTTCCAAATATGAAGCTATAGGCTCCCCCTAGCAATAACAATAATGGAAAGCCAGCCAGTTCATTGTGTCTTGGGCAGACTGGGTGACCTTTCAGAGGTTTTCATTCCAACCAGAAGAACAGAAAAGGTTCCTCTTGACATCCCACCCAGTGTGGAGCTGAGAGCAGCAAAGCATCGCCCCAGCACCTCAGATAAGGCAGGGAGAGAAAGAGGACCCTTGGAGGTGTTCACAGCACATCCATCTCCTACATCCAGCAGCTCCTGGAAAGAGTTCGTGAACAATGACGTGCTCAGTGGAGGAAATTTTGTTGCTCTAGAAAAAAAAAAAAAAAAAGCAAAATCATCCCCAACCCAATAAGTCCTGACTCCTTCCCATCTGCCTTGACCCTACATGGGAAAGAAGCTCAGGAGATCCATCACAGGCTGGGCCAGGTTCACCATGGGCAGAGCAGGCAGAGGAGACACGTCCAGGATGGATGGAGCCCTGCTGGTACCTGGGGAAAGACCCAAGGACTGAATTTCACTAAATGAGCAGGAACTTCCCCCTGTTCCCCAGGGACACCACAGTGGGGGTTGGATGCTGGTTTTGGGTCATTCTTGGACCAGAGCCTGACTCAGGTTCTGGGAGAGAAGGAGGAGGGAGATTGAAGCCACCTTTGTGTCCTGGTCTGGGCTTTGGGAAGGGGTGACACCTGAGGACCATCTCGTCAGGCAGTGGCTTCTTGAAGCCTCCTCCAACCATCTGGACCCCACGATAAGGGCAGAGCCGGGCAGGGGGCAGCGCTGGAGACAAATCCGGGCAGTGCGAGCCCCACACGATCCAGGGGGTGACGGCTGCAAACATCTCTTGGGGGGCTGATCCCCAGAACAACCGGGTTTGTTTTCCAGGAGGGAGGGCAGGCTCACCTCCCCAAAACCCAGGAAGCGAGCAGGGCCACATTGTCTGTGCTGGCAGCCGGGCTGGAGCGCCACGACTACACCTGGTTGCATTTCCACTTTCCAACAAGCCCGGTGTCTGCCAGCATTCCCAGATGGGTTTTACCCAGCGGGAGCTGCTGAACACAATGAATGCTCTTTGTATCTGTCGAAGTGCAGAGGGGAGGGAGGCCCCAGGATGCTGCCAGGGCTGGGAAAGGTGTGTGTTCACTCAGGAAGGACTGGTCCTGTACGTACTTGCACACACACAGAGGTACAAACAGAACCTTCATCTGCTGATGAAAGACCTGCCTGCCTGGAAGAGGTGCAGGCTGGAAAGGAAACGCATTTTTAGAGAAAGGCAGGAGCAAATATTGCAGCACAGTGAATTACTCCTTGTAAATAATCCTGGTTGCAGATCTAAGATCCCTTGTTCTGTTAGTGAATCACAGGTGAGCTGAGCCTCCTCTCTCTTGGGCAATGTTTCCCATCTGTCAGCAGCTCACAGACACGTCGGGTGTCGCTGGGGAGAAACTCAGCCTCGTGCCATCACACACAGAGTCCCACAGCAGTGGTGACACAGCAGCAGTGGGCAGAGTGTCACCTGGGGATGGGGTTCACAGCTCCTCTCTTCCAGGGACTGTCCCTTGGCATCAGACAGGCTCATCCCAGCCCTTTTGCGGTGCAAGGGAGGGAAGTGCTGCAGGCAGAACAGCCAGCCTTGAATGACCTCTGCAGATTCTTGCTCTCTGTGGAACCTCCCTGTAACTTCAGGGAGTCACTGCAGGGTGAGACTGTTGAAGGTATTACACATCTCATGTGCAGAGATTTGGGGCTGTCGGTCAGCTTTGGCTGCTGATGCCTCTGATTTCATCCAGTGCAGAGATCTGGAGGTTAATTGGATTTGACTGATGCTTTGAAAATACCCAGTGGTGCTCTGCTTGTACTTCTCACTGCTTGCTCTCTTTGGAAATCCACTCCTGTGCCTTCCTGAGCTGCAGAGAGAGGATGTGCATTGTTAACAGTCCTGCCCTCAGGTAACTGAGGCTGTGCAGTGTGAGCTTTCAGCCAGGCCGCGATGGAATCAGGATTCCATCCACAGATGCTGGCCAAGAGCATCCAAGCAGCTGATAATGAGCCCCAAGCAATGGATGTGAGCTGGTGAGAGGAGGGAACACATCAGTCCTGTTCCAATTCTGGGTCCTGGGGACAGGCACAGCAGCCTCAGGTGTGCTGGGACCACCACGTCACAGAGTGGACACAGTGGGCAGGCAGAGCTCGTGGTCTCATCATCACGAGACCAGTGCTCCTTCCCCACTGATTGCCAGCACTGCCAATTACTAGACAATGTGAAAACCCTTTGCAGGTCCTACAGGAGCAGGATTCATTTGCTCAAATCCATGCTCGTAGTATCAGCAGCGAGATCCTTCTGTAACTGGAGGAGAGAAAACTGCCCTCAGTGTCAGGGGACAATCCTTGCCAGATCAGGATCCAACACATCCCCCAAGCTTCACAGGGGTTCCAGCAACAAGACAAAATCCGCCCAAGACAGCCTCATTCCATAATTGTCTTCTGGTTCTGTGCCCTATCTTGTAATTCCCCAACAAATACTCCCTAAGACAAAAGTCATATAAGCCAGGAGTCCTGGAAGGACCCAGTTGGAGAGACTCTCTGGGTTCATTTCCTGTGTAAACCCCTTCAGGGCAAAGTCAAGGTGGTGCCAGAGTCATTCCCAAGCAGGGGCACTGGAAGTAAGAGAAGATGTAAGAGGGAAGGGGGCCGGGAGAGATCATAACGTAATGACCATGCCCGGGCCCAGAGGATGAGAATTACAGGGTAATTGGGCAGCAGCTCATTGCTGTGTAAATGCTCAGTTATTTCTGTTCCATAAACCACAATCCAGGTTACATGGTAATTACTTTGAGGTTCATTAAGTGTTATTATACAGTAATCTCCAGGAGCCAGTAATTACTCTCGTGTTCCAAAGTATCTACCTCTTAAAACTGGGTGAGTGTCGTGCTGGTAGGGAGCAGTGGCAGGGTTTGCAGACTTCCGTGAGCTGACGACTCTTGTCCTTCAAAGAATCCCACTTTGACCTGGAAAGGCAGGAAAAATTACTCCAAAATCTCCAGGGGTGAGCTCCTGGCAGAAAGGGACAGGGAGATGTGAAGCAGCAGCACTGCCCCACTCTGCAGTGGGGGAAAAGAGTCCCAACTGCAGCAGCCACGGCTTGGGCTGACTTTCACCTGACAGGCAGACAATATTCCTGCTGCAGGAACGTGAGATTGTGTTTCCAGGCAGCGGCTGGATCAGAATGGTCGGAAAAACCTGTCTGCCATGCTTAACACCCAAGGTTTCCCAGCACAGGTACACAGGGTTGAATTCCTGCAGCAGTGTCAATGAATGTTCTTCCCTTCTCTGTCTTTCAGGGATCTAAACTACAATGAGCTGCTGGAATTCCCCGGGGCGATCAGGACGCTGGGCCGACTGCAGGAGCTGTGAGATTTCCTATTTATTCCTTTTCAAAGCCACTCCCCGATGGAGGGTGACCAATAAAGCATCACCTGTGCTCTGACTTGAGGGCAGCACTCAGTCCAAGCTGAGGACTCAAATTCCATCTGTTCTCTGGCTACTTCTGATGTCCATTCCCCAGTTTGGGACCACAAACTGGAGTTATCCATGTTAATGTGAGGCCAAAGCTTCTGCAGGCCCTGTACCACCTCCTCTGATGTGCAGACACTGTTTTAACTCCCTGAGGATAAATTTATATAGTAGGGAATCACAAAAGTTTATGACCTTTTTAGTGGATAGCTCTCCATCCTCTAACTGGTCAGCCTGGGAGACACTGAAAATGAGAAAATATCCCAAAACAGGAAGGTAGAAGCCCCAAGGTGGGGTAAGTTGATGTGGATCCACAGCTGCTGTGTCACACTGGTGCCAGGCTGGGGTGGGACAAAAGCAGCTGCTGTTGTGTTTTCCTGGGACTCTTGGAGTAAAAACCTGACACTTGTTTTTTCTTTACTGGAAGAATTCTCACAATATTTCCCTGTTCAGCCCAGATATCACCTTCAAAATGAGATAAGATCCCTAATCCACTTTGAGAGGGCTTTTGAAATGGCCATCACTAAAGAAAAGGCAAATTTCAAAGTCATCAACTAATCACCTACTCAGACTCCCATGGGATTAAACAAACTGGGCATCACCCAGAGCCTGGTCTGAGCCCTGGACACAGACCCCTGTGGCTGCCTTTGGTGTGCAGGAGGTCAGACTGTGGCCCCGGAGCTCTCTCCCACTGGAAGAGTTTGCTGATAGCAATTTTCTCAAGCTTAACTAAAAACATCCCAGCTAGAGCTACGAAGTCACAAGGGTTGATAATTCCTGCTGCACTCTGGTTGGCAGCTGTGGAGCTGCAGTGGAGACCACCTATAAAAATTACCATTCCTGGGGGGGGGGGTGTAGAATATTTTGTACTTGGTTTTCTCCTGTTTCCTGACCTGTAAAGGGTTAAACCTTAAGTCTTGCTGTGCTTGGTGGGTTCTGTGGGGTCACCTATGGAGCACCCAGCTGTAGGCAGAGTAAATGCAGCAGAGCGAGGGCTCTGTCCTGCCAAACCACAGACCTTGTTCACCTGCTGGGATGATGCTGCAGCTGGGACAGAGCCTACACCTTCTATTTTATGTGTTTTTTTTGAAGGCTTTAAAAGCGTTGAGGAAAGAAGGTTAATTTAATTAATTAATAACAAGATATTTTTTCTCCCACCAGCGGTTTTCATAACAACAACATCAAAGCTATTCCAGAGAACGCATTTGTTGGGAATCCCCTCCTCCAAACAATGTAAGAAAATTAAATAATGTTTCCTACATCTTTATATTACCCAGAAGGGGGCATTTCCTGATGTCTTTGGTTGGGATTTCTGACAGTGGTCAGCATGACCACAATCTGACGCCTGTTATCCATGGGGCAGCACAAGCTGAGATAGCTCCTTCTCAGCTACACCCCAGGTTTTTGTGTGAGTTCTCCTTTCCCTGCAGCTGAACTTCGCTGCAGCAACAAGGGAACAAAATATGGGTGCTCTGCACGGAAACCCTCCAAGCCCTGGAGGACATCTGGCAGCCTCGAGGCTCCTGACCTGTAGCAGCAGCATCTCTTCATGTGCAGCAGACTCTGACCGGTTCCTCTTTCCCATTGCAGCCACTTTTATGACAATCCCATCCAGTTTGTTGGACAGTCTGCTTTCCAGTACTTGCCAAAGCTCCACACTCTGTAAGTTCACCAAGCACATCCTCAAAGATGTGACACATCCAAGCTCCAGCCTTGTTGGATTGGGCATCTTTGGGGCCTCCTCCCTTCCTCTTCTCAAGAGCCCCTGTGTCACTCTGTTGGCCAGCCCCAAAGTTGGTGATCCAAGGAACAGACACTGCAGATGCTTTCTGCTGAGGAAGAATAAATTTGAAAAGGGTATTTTGGAAGCAGAAATCCATTCCTCCTGCCCACCCAGCTGATGGGCACTGGAGCCTTCCAGGGTCTCCACAGCTGCCTCGGGACCAGCAAAGACCTCACACACAAGGACCACAACTTCTGCTACTGTTGTGCAGTTGCCCAAACAGAAGGCATCTGCCTTCCTGCACAAGATAGAGAAGTGGAGGAACAGTGGGCAGCCAGCAGTGACAGAGTTTCCCTCATGTGTTTGACCTTAAGTCTGGTCCAGGACCACCACCATGCCCACCCAGACCAAAACAGTTGCTCCTCGTTGGCTTTTCAGCCAACCTGTTATGGCACAGCACTAAGTACTGAGGCAGAGGCAACCTCAGAATCTCTGTTTATAAGCCTCTCCCAGCCTCTTGCTGCAGGAACACTCAGGCAAATAAAATAAATCATTCAAATAGCCCTGCATTCTTTAGATCCAAATGCACAGACCCGGGGAGGCTTGGGTGGGATGCCCTGCTTACATTCCCCATGCTAATTGTTTGAGGGTTTGGGGTTTTTTTTATTTAATTTGGCTAGAGATCGTGCCAAGAATGTCAGTGGCTGGGAGAGGCTCTGGGCTTGCCAAGTCTCCCTGCACAGCAGTGCCCAGCTCCATCCCATCTGCACCCCGTGAGGCGTCTGCTCCACCACCCAGCCCGCGGGGACACTCCAGATCTGGGCCTCGAATTGCCACTTCTGGGTGTGAGGAAGCAGATTTGCTGATGGGTCTGGCACCCTGGGCAGCTGCACGTGCCTCCAGGTCCTCTGCCCACCTCACTTCCCCCCCGCGTTTCTCCGCAGGTCACTCAACGGCGCAACGGACATCAGAGAATTCCCGGACCTTAAAGGCACCACCAGCCTAGAAGTTTTGTGAGTGGCACCTCTCTCCCTTTTACCCTGCTAGCTGTGCTCTTCCTCCTTCAAGGCGGTCCAGGCTGTTTCAGTGAGGACAACTTTCCCAGTGCTGTGCAGTATTCAGCTCTGCCTCTCCCTGGTCACTCACCCTTCTGCTTCGTTTCACCCCTGTGGCTCCTGAACGCAGCTTTCCTCTCCGTGAGTTGCTCTCTCAGTACTCTTGAGTGTGCTCCAATCTTTTTGTTGTTGTTTTGTTGTTGTTGTTGTTGTAGTTTTTTATTCTCTTCCTTCCCTCCTGCACCTGTGAAGGAATGAGCCTCTGAGGGCAGTGTTTCAGCATGGTCTGCTGAGCCCCAGTGTCTCTGCCCACGCTGGGGCCAGCACTGCAGGGCAGGGCAGGAAATATCTGCCACCCACGGTGGGGCTCCTGCAACCATTCTGGTCCCCTCCTTACCCCTTCCAAGCTCTGGAGAGCAGGGATGTGGAGGACACTTGGAGGCCCCTCCCTAGAGCACTGGTCCCCAGGCAGTGCCCAAACTGGGAGCACCCCAGCCATGCCTTGTGCCAGGGACACCCCATCTGTCCCCTATACACAGGTTTCTGAGGCAGTCCTGGCTCCAGGAAAGTCACCACTCTGGACAACAGGGAACTGGGATGGCAGAGAGTGCCACAGAGGGCACTGCCATCTGCCCTGAACACATCCAAGGGCAGCTATTAATCCAGTATTCAGCAGCGTCCCAGAACTTCTTAGAGGCACATTCACCTTTGCCAGGTCCAGCAGCAGGGCCTGTTTCCAAAACTGCCAGCCAGTTTTTTATCCTCTCCAGGCCTCTCATTGCCCCATTGATATTGTCTCTCCTGCCACCATTTGAGACTGGTAGCTGGGCTTGTGGGTCACAGAATCTGGGTGCTCTCCACTCTGGCTCTCAGCAACACCATTTCTTCTCTCTCCTCTACCCCTCTAGGACCTTGACCCGGGCAGGCATCCATTTCCTTCCCAGAGGGATGTGCCAGCAGCTGCCCAGCCTGCGAATCCTGTGAGTAACCTGTGTCTCTGTCCTGCCTGGTCCTTAGAAAAATGCCATCAGGAACCGGCCTAGATCAGGGAGAGGACCATCTATGGAAGGCCACCCTGGGGTTCTTGTTCCCATTATCTTTTCTGTGCAGAAATGACCCCCTTCTTAGGTACCACCCTGAGCTCTTTCTTGTTCTTGAACTTGCTGCTTCATCTCAGAACGATGCTCTGGTCCCAGGGCTGCAATCAGGCACATCCTCCTTGCTCTGAACCAGTGGGGACTGAATGCCCCATGCAAGGAGGGTAGAGAGGGTGCAAAGGGGGTGGGTAAGAATAGCTACAGCATTTCAGAGCTCCCAGCTATGTCAAAGATCTTAGCCCAAAATCCAGGGGGGACATCACATTCACACAGCCCTCTGCCCCAGCATTGGCTTATTTTGCAGCTGGAGCTCCAGCAGGTGCCATCATCTGCAGGACAGATCCTGTTCACGTCCTGTAAGGGATCAGGTCTGACCTGATGGAGACCTGTGAGGCCAGAAGGTCATACCTCCTCCCGTGGTGCAGCAAAGCCCCACCAGGGTTTTGCTCAGAGACTCCACATGCCCTTGGCTCTGCCTGCTCAGCTGGGCACAGAATGATGCTGAGAGGGGAGCGTGCTTTCTTCTTTAACTCGGTACATGATGAAATCAACATCTCAGAAAGGCTCCTGCAGCATCCCAGGAATCACACCCGTGGTTCCTGAGATCTCCAGCTTTGTCTGCAGTCAAAGACATCCTCAGGAAATGACTCATGAGCCAGATTTATACAAGTTTGCAGCCTTAGGGCAACAGGAGGCTTGCCTCTCATGAGTCTTTATACAAGCAAGCTGAAAAAAAAAAACAACCAAGGTTTGTTCCAGGAAAGTAACAGGAGTAAATTCTTGATCACAGAAATTGGAAACAAGAGTAAAACATAAAAATAAAAGAACACAATTTGTAACTTAGGAGATTACAGCCTTTTGGCTCTGGCTGTCCTTGTAGGGAAGATGTCTCATCTTTAGACACCTGGAGTAATTCAGTGGACAACTTGCCACAAAAGCACAGCCCTGGCTGTTTAGTCCCAAACCTCTGTTTATGTTTGCAAGTTATCAGACTGTAAACCCTCAGAGCAGAGGGTTCTTCGTGGCTGCCTGCTGCGCGTGGGAGAGTTTTATTGGGACACCCCACCTTGTTCCTCGTTCCTCTTCCCTGGGGAACTTTCCTGACGTTCGTTGCGTCGCTCTCAGAGTTTGGACAGAGAGTGTGTGGGTCGATGTTTGTGCACATTTACATCTCTCTTGCCTTTGGAATGGGTTGGTCTCCTGTCTCCACAGACCCACTGGTGCTCTACCAGCCCCTCGATAGTCCATCAGGTGGTCACAATGACACAGTTTATGCTGCACTTCTGCCCTCCCAGCACGGTGTGGGTTCTCTGCAGAGATCCTGAGTGGGGGCTCTAGGAGCAGGGGCAGAGGGTGGGCACTGAACCCAGCAGGCACAGGCAGGGCTGCCTCTGTCGTCAGCCCAACACCATCCTGCTGCTTTCATCCAGAGCTTCTGCTCAGGGCGCAGATTTCATGGAATATCCTGAGCCAGAAAGAACCCACGAGGATTATGGAGTCCAACTCCTGGTCCTGCACAGGACGCTCCAACAATCCCACCCTGTGCCTCAGAGCGTTGTCCAAACACTCCTTGGTTTGTCTTTCAAGCAGAAACAGGTGAAACTCCCCTGAGCAGAGCTGAAATCCCTTGATGCCACCACCACCTCCATCCTGGTCTGTCCCCAACAGAGCCCCAGTGACTGAGGCTGCTCTGCTCGTAGATAACTGGGCTTCATCTGGTTACCCTCACTCTGGAGGAACCAGAAATAACTCCTGGGGCTGGTTCTCCCCCCAGCACTGTAAGCTAAGCCACTGCCCTGTCAAGCCTGATGTCCTGACACAGGGACCAGGGAGAAGTGACTGATGTTAAGGTTCTTGCTTCCCACTGGGTGAAGCCTCCAGAGCCAAGCACAAACCTTTTGCTTGCTTTTCCCTCCCTCCTCCTCTCCACCACGGAAAGCTGGTGGTGAGGGGGTTGGCAAAAAAGGAAAAAAATAAAATAATTGAAATATTTTAGCAGCAACTTATTGGCAGAAAGATGGAAACCAAGTTTGGAAAGTCGGCAGAGAAGCCACATACAAAACTTCACCCTGGGGCAAATTTCCCTTGAACAACCACAAATCCAGTCTCTGCTGGTGGGGGAAAGAGCTGGGTTTAAACATTATTGCTTGCCCAGCCTGTTTCAGAATAAATTCTCATTGAGTTGTGTCAGGATGGGTTTTCCTCTGACTATCAAGTCACTCTACTCTGGATTGTGATGTGACACTTGTCCTTGAACCAGTGGGAGAGGAGTTTGCTGGGAACTACTTCCAACAGACAGCACTTAAAGGAACAGGGACCAAGGGACCAGAGGTTTTCACAGTTTGTAATGTCCTGAACCAAATCCCTGCCGATGCCACAACCCTTTCTGTACCCTTGGGAGAGAGCCAGGAAAGGCTGAATGGGGAGCAGGCAGGTGGTTTGGGTGCCAGGAGGGAGCTGAGCAGCTGGCTGGCCAAAACCTCCCTGACTCTGCAGGCACATCTGCAGCTTCTGTGAGCTTCCATCCACGGCAGCTCTGGCACAGATATCTCTCCCCTTCTCCCACAGAAAGCTGTGCATGGCAGAGAGTGGCACAGTTGGGTTTCACTGACTTGGGGCTGGGGAGGACAAGCTGTTCAGGTGGTTCCATCTGTCCACAGCCTGGGCTGGAGGGAGCTGGGCTGGGGCTGCACGAGTGGGGAAACCACGGGGCAACCCTTGCCTTGCACAGAGACACTCAGAGCCAGCACCAGGTGCGTGCAGAGTGGAGATCCCCCTCACCTGGGGTTGCCCAAAAGTGGAGATCCCCCTCACCTGGGGTTGCCCAAAAGTGGAGATCCCCCTCCCCTGGGGTTACAGAGCTCTGCAGCTGTGCAGAGTTAAGTTATCCCACACTCCAACAGTACCTGCTTTCCAAGGGAGGGCTCAGGGGCACTGGCTTCTGGTTCCTAACATTCCTGTACTGTCCTTCCCCTGCAGAGAGCTGTCACACAACCAAATTGAAGAGCTGCCCAGTTTCCACCAGTGCCAGCGGCTGGAGGAGCTGTGAGTACAGAGATGTCCTCGCTTGCACCGTGCTCTGGGGCAAAAAGGGCTGTTTGGAGGGGAGAGGCAGTTCCCACACACAAAAATCCACCTTCACTAAGCACTGGGAAAGCTGGAGGTTATAACTCACTGTTTGGACTGCAAAGGGACCAGAGCTCCACTCTTTGCCCCCGTGCAGATACAGAATAAAAATGTGTTCCCTGTGCACAGGAGCTTAATTCACTCAGGTCCTTTCAGAGGTCCCAGCCACAGCAAACAGATGTGACAGCACAGAATTCACTTCTCTAACTCCAGTCCCACCATGAGCTAATCAAGAATGGGGTTTATCTCTATCATAAATACCTTCTGCAACCTGGAAAAATAGATGTATGGGAGCAGAATCTCCATTAAAAAAAAACAAAAAACAAAAAAACCACAGGAGAGACTGACCCTGCTTGCTGCAGCATCCCAGCCTGGATGGCCAGACCAGCTCATCCAGCCTTAGCAACCTGGGTGAAAACGAGAGTTACACAAACCCTGCTGCCCTTTATGGCAGCTGTGAGGACAGAGATAGAGCTGGAGATATTTTTATCTAACGTACCCCCAGGAAAACGTTTGGGGAAAAATAGAAAGTCTCCAACAAAAAAGGGACAAATGTTCAGAATTCCAAACCTGTAGTTTCATGCATTCTGCTGAAATTTCTTCTTCCAAAACGTTACAATATGCCAAATTCAGACTTAACAATAATGTAAAATCACAATAAATCACTCTTTCGGGCTGCTGACCTCAGACAGATTATGCTTTAAATTATTACTTTCTTGCAAATTAGTATTCAGTCCCTTAACCCCGAAGTTATTGTCCTGTAAGCCCCACCCCCAGCAGGCATCAACATTCCTGCTGGTAAATACATTGGAAACAAGTCTGATGGTGCGTGGTGGTACAGCCTGGCACATGAACAACTCAGGTGTGCCTTTGCTCTGCTGTAACTGCCAGTGTGCAGGTTTTTACCTGCACCACACAGGTGATCCCTCACAGCTAAACATCCTGAAATTATTTTTCCCTGCCTCGTTCCTTCTGCCCAAACTCCTCCTCTCCCGCTCAGTGACCCCCCCAGTTTGTGCCCAGAGCTTCCAGGGGCCCTCAGCTGAAATTTTAGCCAGAGGTAGGAGCGAGAACAACCCGTGGGGCACCAAGAGAGCAGCAGCAGAGCAGGCAGGAGAGCCTCGAATGCCCACCTTTGGAACAGGAACACGTGGCCAAATATCAGCTGAGATGTTACAGCCACCGCATGCAGGTCCCTGTGTCAGATGAGTCAAGGTTATTTCTGAGCCTAAAAGCAAGTTATCTACACAAAAAAATTACAGGGGAGCTGCTGTAGGTACAGCACTAGGCGGTGGTTGTGTCCCCTTGTAGATCACAGATGGGGACACCAATTCTGCAGGTTGGGAATTCATGATGGGCATCTCATAGGAATCTTAATATTTATTCACCATTGTTCCACACTAGGGAAAAATGAAACACAGAATGTTTCCCCCAAGGTGCATGGTTGGAGAATTGTAGATGTCTCTTGGAGGTGTGGGAAGTGTGTAGGTCACTCAGCAAAGTCTGTGGAAGCCCCCACCCTGCTCCTTCCCCTTCCCCAGGGGGTGTAGGAGGCTGCTGGAAAGGAGATGTGCAGGGCTGAGGCACTTCATGTGTAGATGTGGGTGGTGGGTTCAACAAGACATTGGGATTTTTCTTCATGCAACACTGAGGTGCCTTCAGCCCTCAGACCCCCTTCACCCTCACGAAGGCAAAGGGCAGCACCACGTGGTCCTTCCTGCAGGGTCACACAGAGCTGGTTGCTGTTCACTGGCTCAGAGCTCTCCACTTTTGCTGTGGATGAAGCAGCTTGCAGGCTTAGGGCAGAGCAGAGTGGGAAACCAGCGTGGCTTTGGAGATAACAGGGCACCTTTAAACACTGCACATCAACAGCGCTTTGCTGAGCCACGATGGCATCAAAAGCAGAGGCTGCCTGAGCCCTGGAGCTGCCTGTGGGAAAGAATGGCTCTGAGATGTTTTGCTGCTCATCCCATTTAACTCTTAAAATAAGAGCAGGTCTCCCAAGTGCAAATAACAACCTCCGCTGTGACAATCTCCATCGGCTGCACTGGGACAAAGATCCCAACAAAGTAGGAACGTTGCCTTCAGCTGTCTTCTCAAACCAGTTTCTGTTTTCCCAGTGGTCTCCAGCACAACAGAATCCACGAGATCAGAGCAGACACCTTTGTGCAGCTGATGGCCCTGCGCTCCATGCAAGTATTGTCTGCCAGGGGACTGGCTGGAGTCTGAAGGGGAACCGTGAACCCCGGCAGGCTGCAGGGAGTTCCAACCCTGCTCCCTCTGCCTCTGCTGGGAGTCCCCCTGCCCCTCCCCTTTAGAAAAGAAGAGGGCACAAACCATCCTTCTGGCTTCCCCTGTGCCTGCAGACTCCCCCTGTAACCCCCCGATGATCCTGGGCCGTGCAGTCCTGGAACATCCATGCAGAGCATCCCATTAGGTTTGAGACTTTCTCCCCACAAGCTCATCTTCGATGGACGAAGTGCAGCCAAGCATGCACGTGCCATACACAGAGAGTGACCTCCCAGGTGCTTGGCACCTCTGAGAGCTAGTAAGACCCTGCAGGGCACCACTGGCCCTGTGACATCCAAACATGGCAGGAGACATTCTAAAATCATCTTGGTTCACCTTCCACATCCCCCTGGCCCTATCTGTGCTTACAACACCCAGCACTGTGACTGTACTGGGGATGCCCTGGCACTAAGGCATGGCCTTAGTCCACTGCTCTGAGGTTTAGCATGTCAGCATAAAATCCCCAAATTTACAGAAAATTAACCCAGAAAGGAACCTTTCCTATCAGTCTCAGTGGAGGAGCTCCTGCAAGGCAAACCCCTGTGCTTTTGCAAACCCAAGCATTCTTGTCTCTGGGGAGCTGCAGTGGGACACAACTTGCTGCTCTCCAAGGGGCTACAGGATCCCACATTTGATCTCATTGAGCCCCTGGTGTCAGCAGCTTCACTGCCCTGCTCTGCTCTCTTCTTACAAGGTGTGTCCTTGCCTTGCAGAGACCTGAGCTGGAATTTCATCCAGTTTATTCACCCAGAGGCCTTCGTGACCCTGCACTCGCTCACCAAGCTGTAAGTCACAGGGATATTTCCTTCACAGTGGTCCGTGGATGGGAGGTATCTCAGGACCTCAGACTGACTCCCTGGGCAAGCAGGACACCCAGGATTTAGGCTGATGTGCCGAGGTGCCTGTCTCAGCACTGATGTGGACAGACCAAATCCTAAGGTTTTCTCTTGATACCAACGGGATGATGAAGTGCAGGAGGGGCTATTTTTAAGCTGCTCTCACCCTGAACACTTAAACTTCCATTTCCTGGTGCTTTCATACCTGCTTTAGATGTCTTTATGGAAGATCAGCATGATGGGCTGTTTCAGCAAGAGTCACTGCAGATCATCTGCACTGGCTCTGGAGGGTTCTCAGTCCTCACCCCCTGACTAAGACTTTGGGTATTTTATGACCTGCAGTCATACCCAACCTATTTTGGAGGGAGAGGTGTGTGGAGCAGGGATGTGTACAGGGAGGAAGATACCGTGCAGAGCTTTCAGAGTGGGCACCAATCCCCCCACAGACACACACTCATTTTCCCAGCGACTGCAATCTCAATCTGTTTATCTCCAGAGGTTTCTGGCTCCCGTGCAGCACCCAGCCCCACCTCAGCATCACACTGAGGGAGCAATCGAGACGAGCAGCTGAGGGCTTGGCTGAGGTACCAGTGGCAGCAGAACCCTGACCGTGGTCTCCCTCTCTGCTTTCCCTTCACCAGGGACCTGACTGACAACCAGCTGGTCACGCTGCCCCTGGATGGCTTGGCTGGACTGACCCACCTGAAGCTCCAAGGCAACCCAGCTCTCTCTGAGCCCTTCACCAAGGAGAGCTTCCCCAAAATGAGGTACTTGGGGTGTTGGCTCTTTCACTCCTGGTGCTCAGCACAGCCTGTATTTGCCTAAAGCACTCAGGCTCCTGCTCTCCTTGTCTCTCTCATGCTTTGGCCAATGGGCAGAGGAAGCTTCATGTGCTGCTGATGCCTCTCATCTTTTAGCATCTTTCACTGGAGAGTGGTGCTGTGCTCCCTGGCCCATCACCCCCACCCCAAACACACACACAAGTGGAGAGCATGCAGCGAGCCCAGCTCAGGGCTCCTCTCAATGGAAAACATTCCCAGAAGCAGCCCCAGCTAATGACATCCAGGTTTCCTTCTGTAAACTCTGTTTGTGTGGCCGTGTCTTGTCTGCTGTGGATTAATGAGGAGCCTGGAGGGGTCAAACTGAGCAAGATGAGGCTGTGAAAGGCTCAGAGAGCAGTGCTGTAGGCTCAGGCTCTCCTGACCCTCCTTTACAGGTGGGCCTCAGCCTGGCACCTGCCCTCAGGCTGAGGTGTCCATGGTCCAAAGAACACAAATTCCCCTCAGGCAAAGTCACCTGTTCCTTGGGTCTCATGGGGAGTTCCCTTGGAGCCAAGAATGCAAAAGCTGATGCTCCCACTCATCCAGTGTGAGTTTCCCAAGGCTGGAGCTTCTCCAGTTTAGACACCTAGTGCTGGGACCACGGGCCAGTGCACCAACACTGGGATTAACAGCTCAGGCCTGGGGAAAAGTGTGGAGCTCTCACATCAGTCCACCTCGCAGTGGGGTCTGAAGGGCCTTCTCTCTGACTTTTTTGGTTCATCATAGCTGGGATCTACTGCATGACTGGTTTAAAATGGCAGGGGATTCCAGAAGCTTTTGGAGGGTTTTCTACACCCAAGATCATAGAATCACAGAATCACTCAAAGCTCATCTCATTCCAACTCCTGCCATCATGGGCAGGGACACCTTCCACTAGACCAGGGTACTCCAAGCCCCATCCAGCCTGGCCTTGGAGACTTCCAAGGATGGGGCAGCCACAGCTTCTCTGGACAACCTCACCACCCTCCTAGCCAAGAATTTCTTGCCAATATTCCCAATAACCCTGCCCTCTGGCAGTGGGAAGCCATTCCCCCTTGTCCTGTCACTCCAGGCCCTTGTCCCAAGTCCCTCTCCAGCTCTCTTGGAGCCCCTTTTAGGCACTGGAAGGATCTCAAAGGTCTCCCTGGAGCTTCTCTTCTCCAGGTGAACACTCCCAGCTCCCCCAGTCTGTCTCCATGGCAGAGGGGCTCCAGCCCTCAGAGCATCCCCGTGGCCACCTCCAGACCCACTCCAGCAGGCAGTCCCTTGTGCAGGGTGGGTCAAGTTCAGCACTTCCAGGGTGTTTCTCCTCTAAACAAGTTCCACTGGCAGCTGTGGAGCTGGTTTGGATTTGTCCCAGAGAAACTGAGCCTGCAGCAGTGGTTCATTGAACCACGCCAGGCGATGGACCCATTAACATTCCCTACATTTTGGGGTGCTGCCATTAAGTAGTCTTACTCTTGGGGCATCTGCCTGGTGGAATCATCTGAGAACAATTCTTACCCTTCCTGGGAGGATCAGCACCTCCCTGCCACCTTTCAATAATAGGATCTAATTTGGAGCTTGTAACAGGAAACAAGTTTGTATACAGAGTTTCCACAGCCTCACGGGGCTCGGGCAGAAATGTTTGGGAACATAAAACAAAAGCATATTTTTAGAATATAGAGTTTCACCATATTTACTGATCTTGTCAGAAGACCTTAATTGTCTGGAAAACCTGAGGTTCCTTTGCCTTCAGCAGCAGTCTCCCTGGCTTCCAGCAAAGCCAGAAACGCTGACAGACAGCCTGGTATTGTGTCCAGATGATGCTCAGCTGCTCTAGAATTAACCTTGTAATACATGCTATAATTAGCAACCAGCAGTTTGACCTTCAAGTAGAAATCAGACATATTTAAACAACTTGTTTCACTTGAGGGATCTGAGAATTCCCTTCCTGAGCTGGCAGGAGGGAGCCACGCTCCTGGAGTTGAAGTTTGAAGGTGTCTTTCTGACCCTCAGCAACAAGGAAGGGGGAACTTTGCTTTTGGGAAGCTTCTCACCTTAAAGGAAAGAAAGGATGCCCAGCAAAAGATGGCCTTGGGGTAAAAGTTGAAGACTGTACATGCCTTGGGAAAAGAGGGGCTAATTTAGCCTGGGGAAAACTGCAGGCAGGTTTTTAGGAATGCCTTGATCTAGGAATGGTATTCTCCACCTCAGTGCTCCTGCTCAAACCAGCAGCAGTGGGGCAGGGCAGAGACACCATGGGGTGCCTTGGGCACACACACTGTCCTACGTGGAGACCTTCCCCAGAGCACAGACCCTCTCTGGTGTAAAGACCACCAGGCAGACCAGCCTTTGTCACATTTGAACTGAGCAAAAAGTGCAAAGCAACGGAGAGTCAGGCCCTGGAGGGGTCACAACCCTTAAGTTCTGCTTCCCCCCCTGTGCAGAGTCCTGGAGGTCCCGTACGCCTACCAGTGCTGCGCCTACGGGAGCTGCAGCAGCTTCTTCAAGGTGTCCAGCCAGTGGGAGGCAGAAGACACGAGTCCTGAGGAGGAGGATCCCCACAAGAGGACCATGGAATTGTTTCCAGGTCACGCCGATAATCACTGTGAGTAACCTGGGCTGAAGGGTGATCGGTCCACGGGCAGGGCTGAGCGAGCTTGGAGTGCTCCCACCAACAGCCACGGAGTGACAGCTGCCCCAGGGAAGGCAGACTGAGCCTTCTCCAATGCAGGTGGCCAGCTGCTGTGAATGGGCTTCAGCTGGTGATCCTGTAGGGGAAAAAGAGCTGATCTGGCACATCCAAACCTTCACAGTGTAACCCAAGGACCTGGCAGTCCTCCACAGCATGGGCACGTCTGCCAGTGTGGCCTTGCTGGCCATGGGGGGAGACTGCCCAAGGCACTGGAAGGTGGCTGAGGCTACCTGGGACAGCTTCTGGGCTTGGTTGTCAGACTTTTGGGCAGTGTGGAGCCTTTTGGCAGGACATCAGCCTTCCTCCTTTCAACATCTAGGGGAAGGGCTTCAGGATTAATCCAAGTAACAGAATGAAGTCCAAGGCCTGGAGTGTGCAGCTGGCTGGAGATAGAGAGACCTGCACCTGTGCTGCTTCTGGGCACGTTCCCTGATGCTGCAGCAAAGGTCAGGGTTAGGTGTGACAACAGGACACATCTGGGGAGGACAGTGAGCTCAGTACAGGGGCTGGCTGGAGCAGGGCAGAAGGGCCTCCAGAGCTGAGCAGAACTTTCTGTCCAAGAGTCAATCTGTTCTGAGCTCCAAAGCTCAGTTCTGCACAGACCTGCATGAAGCCAGCACAGGACAGTGCAAGGCACACGTGCACCCACAGCCCCCCAGCACAGCAGCAGCAGCTCTGGCACACAGCTGGTGTGGTCCTGGTGCAAAGGAATCTCAGAATAACGTGAAGAAAAGCTGGATGTGCAGACAGATAATTGACCCAGAGCTGCTGGACTCTGTGTTACAGGCAGCACCACCAAGACCCTTTATGACACAGCCAGCTCTGTGTTCTGCTCCTGCCCTGATCCTTCAGAGACCAAGAATAAGCTTTAGACATGTAAAAAGTCCAGCCAGAGGGTAGCAAGTGTGGTTCCTGCTGGCCTGATGTGGCTCTGGGAAGCGTGGTAGACGTGGTGGCAACGCTGGGCAGACAGTCCAGAGGAGTCACAGTCATTGCTGCAGGAATTGCTTCTCGGCCGGGTCAATTTTTCCATCATTAACACAGCCCATGCTGTAACAGTCCTGGTGCAGATAGCTGGGGGGCTGGCCCAGCAAATTACAGCATCTGTGGAAAGATCTGGTTTGTGAACAGAGCCCACAGCGCTGCTCACAGAGCTGCTCTTGCTGGGTACCAAAGCCTTTGATGTCCCAAAGGATGCTATCTCCTGGTCCTGTCAGCAGACCAAAACCTACCACAGGCTCCCAGGCCTCCAAGCCAGTCTCAGCCTCATGGATGGTGCCTTCATGAGCTTTTGGGACCGAAGGGGAATGCTGACTGTTTCTAAGATGTGCCAGATGAGGCTATCAGCAGCTTGTAAAGGCTCCCATTTTCAGATTTAAAGCACTGGATTTGTCTTGAAATACCAAAGCACACAGGTGCAAGTGTGACATGCACAAGAACATGTTCCTATGAGGTGCAGCTTTTGCAGGTGACCCTCCTCACCACTCAGCAACCAGGTCTGCTCTTGGTGATGAGGGGTTTGTGGTATTGCTGTTTTACTTAATTAATCACTGCTTTATTTCTGTCCCCAGTGCTTCCTTTCTGATGGCCACTGGTGGCATTTAGCTGGGTTATATGAACCTTGTAACACTTCCTCATTAAAAAGGACAAAAGCTCCCAAACATTCCTTTCATGCAAAAGGGGAAGTGGTCTAGTTAAGAGAAAATAACTTGTGGCTCTGTCCTGGCAATGTACAGCCAGGCTCATCAGGGCACTCAGATGCTCTGGGAGAGCTTGTGAGAGGGACAGGCATTGATTCCAGCCACAGCTTCTCTGGACAACCTGTGCCAGGCCCTCACCACCCCCACAAGGAAGAATTTTTTCCCAATATCCCATCTAACCCTGCCCTCTGGCAGTGAGAAGCCGTTTCCCCTTGTCCTGTCACTCCAGACCCTTGTCCAGAGTTCCTCTCCAGCTTCCTTGGAGCTCCTTTAGGCACTGGGAGGGTCTCTAGGGTCTCCCTGGAGCCTTCTCTTCTCCAGGCTGGACAATCCCAGTTGTCTCAGCCTCCCTGGATTCCAACTGACAGTGTTTAGCTGGCAACCACCTTGCAAACCCTGCAGGGTCCTTAGAGCTACACTTTTCCTGCTTTGGTCATTTCAGAAGGCCACTCAAGTCCCAAAAAACCACCTGCCCAGGCCCCTTCTCCAGCAATTCTCCTCCCCTTCCTCCCACTTTGCTTTTGGTACAGACAGCTTTTTTTCCACGGAAAGGGCAACACTGGCAAGGTGGGTTTTTTTCCATGAAACCTCAGAGAGTGGAGGTGCCTTCGCAAAATTCAAATAAATAGCAGCTTCTTCCAAACTGATGCAGTCTACCTTGCTAGGACAAAACAACCATTTTCCTTTCTCCACAGTTCCCAGGCTGGGGAAGTACTGGTTTCCAGCAGAGAGGTCCATTTCTCACTTTGAACCTTGCTGTGCTGTCTGAGGATTGCTTTGCGATTCCCAAAAGGCTCAGCAGTCCAGGCAAAACAAAAGATCCTCCTTCGCTTCATGAAAATGTTTAACCTGGGCTTAGACCCAGCCCTTTGAGGAGAAAAGGGATGGGGCAGGTTACACTTTCCCAAGGGCTGGGTCTCAGCAGGGCACAGAAAGTGCAAGTCTGTGTCTGTGTTCTTTGGGTGTCGTGCCTGCACATTACAGCCTCCGCTCTGTGGCTGGAAAAGACACTGGAGATTTATAAGACTATAAAATACAAGGATGAAATATTTTTCCATCCCACTGTGAGTGTTTCCTTGCCAGGCTCCAAAGCAGCAGTAATATTTCAACTCTTATACAGACAGATTTTAAAAAATGGTTTTTGGTTTTGGTTTTTTTTTTTTTTTTCCAAAGCTCCCTGAAGCCGAGAAAGCCACAGAGCTTGTCAGGAGGCACTAAAGATAGCACGTTATTTGTCATCATTCTTTAATCAACTAATCCCAGTCACATTTTCAAACACGGGCAGGGAGCAGAGCTCGTGAGAGGCACCACCTCTAAAGAGATTAGACAAGGAAACCCCACTCAGGTCAGCTGCATCTTCAGCACTGTGGAAACTCACCCTCCTGGGCAGTGTCTGAGCTGCCAGGTGCACACCAGCATCAGTCCCTTCATCCAAGGGAGAGTTCATCCCACAGCTCCCTGGCTCCCAGGCTGCAGGAAGCAGAAAACCACATCCTTTCCCTTTGCTCCTGCTGGCAGAAAAACCCTCCAAAGATCCCCAGTGGGAGCTGAAGGCCGTGCTGGTGCCATGGGTGGGGACAGGGCAGCGGGACAGCAGCTGTCCTCACTGTGTCCCAGTGCTATCAGTCAGCAGGAGTCTGGGAGGAGGAACAAGGGAACAAAACAGAAAATCACGTCTGGGATTAAATGAGAGGATGCCATTCGCCTTGGTGATGTCCTACACCAAAAACATGGCTGAGGTCTCAGCCCCATTCCCTTCCAGAAGCTTCTTCTTCAGTCAGGGGGGGCTCTGCCTGAGCCTCAGTGAGCCCAAACCTGGCTCAGGGTGCAGCTGCCAGTGCTGGCCCAGGGCTCTGCAGCCTGGCTGCACAAACCCCACGAACACAGAGGCTGCAGCCACGGGCAACCAGTCTGCCTTCAGCAAATCCTGGGAACCTCCATGACCAAAACAGGGGCCACAAGTCCCAAGAATTCACGGGACATAAAATTAGGCAATAAATGTCGGGTTCCCTTGTCTCTTTGCCACGGAGCTGTTCGGTGGCGGTGGATGCTGACGGAGAATTTGTTCTGCAAGAAGAGGCTGATGGCTCCCTCTGAACAAAGCCCCAAAATCCCTCTTGATGAACACACTGGACAAGCCCTGCCCAGAAAGCTCCCACGGAGAAGATGCATTTGAAGGCTTTGTGTTCTGTAACCACATAAGCTGGAGTATTTATTTACTTTTAATAATGCTTGCTGGGAGGAGGGAACCACAGTCACACAGCTCTGGGAGCTGGGGCTCTCCCACTTCAAATGTTGGGAGCAACCTAAAAACGGAGGGATTGGCTACACTGCAACCCACCAACGTTTTTACAAGACCTTCTCCCTCTGCAGCAGTGACTGCAGGGGACAAACTGGACACCAGCAGCTACTTTGAACTTGTGGGCTAGGAACTGGCTGGGAAGGTCTGAGTGGAAGGCAGGCGGTGGGAAAACTCCTGGCCCGGTTAACCCTGATGGTGCTCGTTCATCTCTGAGCACCATTTCTTGTTCTTTTCTCCCCAGATGACCTGGATGCAGATGACCTTCAGCTGGACCATGAGGAATCAAAGCTTCACCCCACTATTCAGTGCACGCCAAGCCCCGGTGAGCAGCCAGGGAAACCCCCTGAACAGAGCTGGGATCCTTTGAGCTTCTCTAAATCCCCAGGATCCCCCCACGACCTTTCAGATCAGAAGCCTGGTTAGGCTTTGGCCAAAATGGGGACAGGTGAGGAGCTTCCTTCTCCCAGCTGGATGTAGCTGGACAGGCCTGGTTCCATCCAGCCAGCTGTTGAACACCAGCAGGGACAGAGTTTTCACCAGTTGTCCCACTGACTTTGTTTTTGTAAAAGAGACATGAAGGAACAGATTATAGTTGAGGGCATGTCCTGCTGCCTGGGAACAAAGGTGATGGTGCTCTGAGCTTTATCCCCTTTGAGATGAGCAGGATTTCTGCATTTCCTCTAATTTTGTTTGCTCTGCACCACCTAAAACTTCTCCCATCCTGTTTTTGTTTTTGCTGAGCCCCTCACTATAACATCCCAATCCCTCCCAGGCAATGTCACACATCTCCACAGCACTAACTTCCTGATCCCAGGGGGTAGATGAGAAGGAGCAGGTAATGGCAGAGGGGCCCAAATGCCGGGCTGACACCAGGAGTGTCGTTGGGTCTGGAGTCATGACCTTTTTTTGTGTTTAAGGAGCTCTGATAACTTTGTGGTTTCTCACATTTCACTTTGACCTCTCCCTGCACCTTGTTTCTGCCCTAGACAAGATCTGAGAGGATGCCAGAGGCACCTCAGTGTGGGCACAGGAGGGAAAGAGCCAAGAGGCAGCTGCAGAAGAGGGCAAACAATTCTCCTTGCCAGCCCTCAGCACTCATGGGGCCGGTGGGGCCAGGAGAGGGGCTGGGACGTGGCCACCACCCCAAGCAGCACCCCTGGAGCCAAGTGGTGCCTGCTGGGCATAACTTTGAGGTTTGTCTTCCAGGTCCCTTCAAGCCTTGCGATCACCTGTTTGAGAGCTGGATCATCCGCCTGGGCGTTTGGGTCATCGTCCTGGTCTCGGTGCTCTGCAACGGCCTGGTCATCCTGGCTGTGTTTGCCTCCCCCAGCTACCTCTCTCCTGTGAAGTTCATCATCGGCTCCATAGCCGGGGCCAACATGCTGACAGGCATCTCCTGCAGCATGATGGCCCTCGTCGACGCCCTCACCTACGGCCACTTCGCCAAGTACGGCGCCAGATGGGAGACGGGCGCGGGCTGCAGGGTGACGGGGTTCCTGTCCGTGTTTGCCTCCCAGGCTGCCATCTTCCTGCTCACCCTGGCTGCTGTGCAGTGCAGCATCTCAGCCTCCTGCGTGCGGGGCTACGGGAAATCGCCCTCCCTAGGCAAGGTCAAGGCTGCTGCCTGCTGCTGCCTGTTCCTGTCCTCTGTGGCCGCCGTTCTGCCTCTCTTCTCCGTTGGGGAATACGGAGCGTCCCCTCTCTGCCTCCCGTATCCCATCCCAGATGGGAAACCTGCCACCCTGGGCTTCACTGTGGCCTTGGTGATGACAAACATGCTCTGCTTCCTGACTATCACCGGCACCTACATCCGACTCTACTGCAACCTGCTGAAGGGGGAGTTCGGCGCTGTCTGGGACTGCGCCATGGTTAAGCATGTGGCCTGGCTGATCTTCACCAACTGCCTCCTGTACTGCCCAGTGGCCTTCCTCGCCTTCTCCTCTACCCTCAACCTCTTCCTTATCACCCCAGAGGTCATCAAATCCGTCCTCCTCGTGGTCCTGCCCCTGCCCGCCTGCCTCAACCCCTTGCTCTACCTGCTCTTCAACCCCCACTTCAGAGATGACTTCCGCCTGCTGAGGCAGAAGGGGCAGGACAAGGGGAGCTTCCCCCAGTCCTGCGCTGCTGATGACATGGAGAAAAGCTCCTATGACTCCACGCAGGCCCTGGTGAGCTTTTCTGACATCGACCACATGTTTGAGACGCCTGATTCCCTGGGAGTGCGCCCCATCCTCGACAGCTACAGCTTCCCCTCCATGACGCTCATCCCCTGCCAGCAAAGAGTGGGCACCAGGGGGAAGGAGAGGGGCTTCTCTGAGCATTGTCCCTGCCTCAGTGACAGTGAGGTGCTGATCACTTCAGAGAGCCGAGACCCGTCTGGCAGCAGCCTCCAGATAACCTTCTTCCCCTCCCCGCCCTCACTGCCCTACACGTCTCACTTATAAACCTCCTCGGAACAGCCCCACAGCCCACGCCAAGGGCCAGCCCCAGCTCCAGGGGGGCCAGCAAGGTGACACAGGCTTCTCCCTGTAAAGCACCAGTACAACCTGTCTACCCTCAACCCCACCACACCTGCCTGGACAACAGGCACCACTCCGCCAGCTGCCCCTCGCTTGGAAGGGCTCTGACTGAGCCCCAGACACTCAGGGCTGGCCACGGGAGGAGATAACCCCTGCACGTGTCGCTCCTGCTGGGAACTGCCTGGGAGAGAGCCCCACCAGCTCAGGAAGAGGGTCAGGGAGACCCCCCTCCTCCTCCTCCTCCTCCTCCTCCTCCTCCTTCTCGTCCTGAAGCATCGCCAGCCAGGAGGAGCCTGCAGTGAAGCCAAGTGTGTCTTCTGAGGCAGAGACATCTTAGCAAAAGCCCTTGCTCTGTGGCCACACGTGGAAATGTCCGACTGCAGTGACATGGCCACCCACAGGGACCTCAGGCCTGTCCTCCAGGGTTCTCTGCAGGTCCCACACAAATAGGCTGGTGTCTGCCCCATGCCATCAACTGGACAAGCAGAAGTGGGTTAAAAGCAGCGTATCCATGTGTGCACCTGAGGTTTGGACTGCCTCTATTTTTTGGGAGTTTCCACTCATTCACTGGGAACCTCGTGGGTTGGGTAGGACCCTCACCTCCAGCAGATGCCAGGAGCTGGGAATGCTCAGCCCACCTTTCAATCTGACCCACAAGGGGTCTCTGAAAACCACGGCAGCCAAACCCAAGCAGTTTCCCAGAAAAACCCACGTGCTGTGCCTGAGGTCACTCAGCAGCACCCGCCCAAGGCACCCAGGGGCACACCGGGCTCCCTCCATCCCCGCTTCACACACCACAGCACACCTGGGGCACTCCTGTCTGTAGTCACCTGGTTCCTGCTCAGGTGTGGTGAAAATGGGGTCTGGGTCCCTCACTGCCCCCAAACCTCCTTCCTGGAAGAGGCTGCTGGTTCTGGATACACGTCCCAGACACGGTGCAGCCATTTCGGGGCCTGCACTTGCCCTCTGTTGTTTTAAGGGCAGGCAGCTCATGTAGACGGAGGGAACAGAAATCAGCACTGTGGGATTTTGACGTCAGGAGGACACAGGCCACTGGGAACAGCCTCGGATTCACTCCCTGCAGCTCAGGGATCTCCCAAATCCATCCTCTCCATCACAGACCCTCCCAGTGCCAGCTGGCAGGGAGCCCCGCGGTCAGAGCTCGGGCCCTGGGCAAAGCTTTGGTTCTGCTGACGTTACTGCAGCTGTTTGTCACTCGTTCTTGTGAGATAATAAATGAGCCCCATTGCTGACCAGTGGCTGGTTTCTGTCCTCTTGCATGTGAGGAGCACCTTGGTGGTTCTGTGGGCAGCTGCCTCTCCCAGGTGTTGTCTGGGTGCATTCCCCGAGTGAGGGCGGGGAAATGGCCTTGTGTCCACATGAGCTTGCACCATCCTCCCCAGCCTTCTTCTCCAGAGGGAAGAGCCAAACCACCCACCTTCATGCAACAGAACTGCACCAGCAGGGTCCCTCTCCAGATCCTGTGGACCAGAGCCACCTGCTGTACCCCTTGATCTGCTGCTCGGGGGGTTGAGTTCATGAGCAGGACAGAGGCTGCTGCATGAAAGGTTAAGGACATCGTATAACAGGGTCTCCCAAGCAAAGCCACACTCCCCAGACAGAGCCTGGCTCTGCTTCCCTCCTCTGCAGATCAGCCATGTAGTCTTTTCCCAAGGAGAAAAACTTGAGAGATCAGCAGAAAATCAGAGGAAAGGGATTCAAGGATTAGAGAAGATGGTGGGAACCCCAAATGTAGTGGCAAAATCCAAAGCTTTGCCATGGTCTTTAGGTGGGAACTGTGAAAAACGTGGCCTGTTGTGAGACTTGAATCCTGCTCCAGACTTGTAATATGCTACAGATGCTCAAAATCCATTCTCGTGTTTGGTTCATTAAAAACACTGAGCCGTTTTCTTCCATGTTCTTAGGGCTGCTCACATGCACAGGACCGCGAAACACTCATCCTAGATTGATTCTCCTCTGAATGCTCCTTCAGAAGTGGGATCAACCTGTTGGAGCAAGTCCAGGGGAGGGTTTCCAAGCCCTCCTGCAGGGAAAGGCTGAGACAAACTGGGATTGTTCAGCCTGGAGAAGAGAAGGCTCCAGGGTGACCCCATTGAGGCCTTTCAGTACCTGAAGGGAGCCCACTAGAAACGTGGGCCTGGAGTGACAGGACAAGGGGGAATGGCTTTGATTAGATATTGGGGAAAATTTCTTCTCTGTGAGGGTGAGGAGGCCCTGGCACAGGTTGCCCAGAGAAGCTGTGGCTGCCCCATCCCTGGGAGTGTCCCAGGCCAGGTTGGACGGGGCTTGGAGCACCCTGGGCTGGTGGAAGGTGTCCCTGCCCAGGGCAGGGGTTGTGGAATGAGATGAGCTTTAAGGTCCCTTCCAACCCAAGCCATTCCATGATTCTGTGATCCCCAGGATAAGGAAACCTCTAATTAGAAGAGACCCTAAAATAAACCCCACTATCACTGACACAATGAGCATCGTTACAAGTCACACTGAGCTTAACTGAGCACAAGCTTGTCAGGAGTGAAACCTGTTCCTTCTGCTCCCCCAAGGCCACAGGAGCCCCTGGGAGACCATTTAGAGCAAACACAGCCTGAAGCCCTCTCTGAGATGTGTTCCTTGCAGGGTTACTCAGGGGAAAGGAGGGAGCATAAACACAGAGCATGTTCTGTGCTCACCAAAGAGGTGCCTGAGAAACAGTGAAAGTTTCTGGATCTGCAGAGGTGCAGGAAACAGAAACCAGCATCCTCCTATCACTGCTGCAGGTCATAAATCCTGAGTAGGAACTCTCTGGCAAATGCTCATTAAAGTGCCTTTCACCACATCTCTAACTGTGTACACGTGGCTTTCCACCCTCCCAAACACTAAATTCAATAATTATGGAAAGAAAAAAAGAAAAAAAAAAGGAAAAGCAAACCTACACCATTCCATCTTCCTTCTTAGCAGCTGGTTTGGCCCATACTGGTGCCAGGCTGCCCACCTTCAGGCAAGCAGGAGCCAAACTGTGCAACCCACTTCTGATCGCCAAGGGAGGCGTGAAACAACCTCAGCAGAACAGAGAGAAGTTCTTGCTCCCCATCCTCGACCAGCAAGAACTCATGAGGCTGCTCTTCTGCCTCTTAGACTGAGCTTTAGCTGCCTGGACACCTCCCTTCCATATGATCCTCTTCAAGGCCACCAGATGTTAGCACGACCCTCCCAAAAGCAACCAGATGTCCTGGAGGCATTGTGAGCCTTTTCATTGGAGACAGGGCTCCCTTGGATTCCAACCTTTGGAAGGGGATGTGTGCCAAAAAGGGGGGGAGAAGAGAAGTTTATGAAAGGGCCCCTCCCTGTAGCAGGATTGCTCCTGGTTGGAAAAGGCCTGGCTGCCAAAGAGCCCCAGGCAGCAGCCAGTGAGCTGCACGTCATGGTTGGACAAGCTGGCCTGGTTTCCTGGGCTGAATCGACACAGATGTGGTCAGTAGGTCAGAGAGGGGATTCTCCCCCTCTGCTCTGCTCTTGTGAGACCTCACCTGCAGCGCTGCCTCCACTTCTCAGGCCACCAACACAGGACAGATGTGGACCTGTCCAGGGGAGGGCACTGAGCTGATCACAGGGCTGGAGCCCCTCTGCTCTGGAGCCAGGCTGGGAGAGCTGGGGGTGTTCACCTGGAGAAGGGAAGGCTCCAGGGAGACCTTGGAGCCCCTTCCAGTGCCTAAAGGGGCTACAAGAGAACTGGGGAGAGACTTTGGACAAGGGCCTGGAGTGACAGGACAAGGGGGAATGGCTTCCCACTGCCAGAAGGCAGGATTAGATGGGATATTGGGAAGAAACTCTTCCCTGTGAGGGTGGGCAGGCCCTGGCACAGGTTGCCCAGAGAAGCTGTGGCTGCCCCTGGATCCCTGGAAGTGTCCAAGGCCAGGTTGGACAGGGCTTGGAACAGCCTGGGATAGTGGAAGGTGTCCCTGCCCATGGCAGGGGATGGAACAAGATGAGCTTTAATGTCCCTTCTGAGGCCTTGGGGGTGGCTGGGTGACAGGCAGAGCTGCTCTGGAAGCCATTGTCAGGGCTGGGCACCTTTGTGGTTTCCCCTGCACGTCAGCAAGGCCCTGCCAGGACACCCTGAAGGGCAGAGATGGCATGTTTGAGGAGGATGTGGGCCCTGAGGGACCCGGAAGCATTGTCTACCAGGACAATGTGGAGGCAATTTGTAGGCACACTCCAATGTCCATTTTTCACTCATCCAGCCCTCCTGGCTGTAGATGTGCAGCTCCTCTGGAACAAAGCCAGTGGAACAAGCACCCTACGGTGTTGTTTTTTCAGTCTCATTGTTTTTTTCCACCAGTGTTGTGATTTCTGGAAGACTGGGCCATGATTGGGAATGTTTGGGATGGCAGCGCTGCTGCAGCCACGGGAACATAAATGGCAAGGAGTAAACCGTGCATGGGATGGCAATATCTGCTACCAGCCTCCTTGGAGGCCAAAGGAAAACACACATTCTGGAGAATGTAAACCCATCTTTGAGACTGGGATGCACCACACATCAGGTCTGGCAGGTGACCTCAGCAGTTTTCACATTTTCAGAAAATCTCTTCCAAGCACACCTCAAGAACCATCACTGTCCCAGGTACGAATGGGAACTGAGTGAAAAGCTAACCTGGAAAACAGGAAAAACCTCCAGCTTCCTGAACGCCTCAAAACTGGAGTAGCTTCCCTGCAATTTGGGAGGAAGAAGAATCCCACCCAAATACTGATCAGTGATAAACCGAGTTAAACACCTTGACCACTCCTGTGGCACCTCCCCTAATACATTATTAATTAGAATGTTGGGACTCCAAAGTGGGAGAGAAGGCATGCTGTGTAGACAGACCTATTGGTGCCCAAAACATGGAGAGTAAAAGGACACCTTTTCACCATCAAAACATCAAACCTGCTCTTTCGTTACTCAGTGCAGTTTCCATCACCCAAAAATAAGAGGGCAGAATGCCAGGCTGCCAAAGTACTCCAACAGTGTTAAGGAAGTGTTCATTAGTTTATGACTATCACCACACAGGGACTGCAAACATCAGGACAACCAGAATCCATTTTTTATTTATTCCTTTTCAAAATGTTCTGAAAGGAAAAGCGAAATAAAGAGCAGGACCCACCAGGGGATATGGGAGATGCCATCATCACAAGGAACACAGTGCTGGGTTTCAAAGCAATGGCTGACAACCACACCAACAACAAGAACCTAAACCCAGAGGAGACTGGCCAACCAGTCACATCACACAGAGATATTATAGGATCTGTTTCTTTACACCAATTAGCTGATTTCCTGAAGTGTAAATCAAGCTGGCAGCAAAGCAACCTACAAGCTAATCTCACATTTTCTCCTGCTCCTGATGACAGCATTTTCTTTGCTTGGGGAGAGCCTGTATCCCTTGGGATATCGTCTCCCTTCCTTGTCCAGCAGTCTGGGATAGCCTTAGAGACAAAGAAAACTTCCAGCCTGTAGAACACGACCCATGGTCCTGATTGTCCAACACATTGTCCAACACACTCCCAGCCTCAAGTACAGTTTTCCCAGCACGTTGCAGAGGCACAGGAGGGAAGCAGAGGGAGAGGCACAGATGGTCTCATCCAAACATACACTGGACCACAAACATTGGGAATAATAATAATAACAATAATAACAATAATAATAATAATAATAATAATAATAATAATAACAGGGAGTTTACACTTTCACAGCCAAGATGTAGGAGAAAGCAAAGGGCCAGGAATGCGGTGAGTAGCAGCAAAAACTGGCTCCTCCTCTCAAAAACATCATCCTATATCCATGTTTATACCATGGTGTGTGGGAAGAGCTGATCCTGACTTGCTGCCAGTCTAGGGATAAAATCCAGCAGCTGCTCCACACCACCTAGGAATGGTTTGAGGTTAATTCTGAACAACAACAGCAACAGCAACAAAAAAGGCCACTTTCATTTTGGGTGATTTCCTGAACCAGACGAGGAGCAGAGGATGGAGCCAGATGACAACTTTTCCTAACATCAGCTGTTCAGGAAACTACAGCCCTTCAGCAACACAGCTAAAGTGACCCTGGTCCTCAAGGAAAAAGCAGATGGTAAGCTGGGTCCCAGTTGGCCATTGAGGTTCAAGGGGTGCCCAGAGGGAGCCTGGCCCCGACACAGCAGGGCTCTTCCTCCCCTTTGCTCTGCTGCCCCACAGAGCCAAGTAACCAACAGAAAAACAATTGCACCAAAAAATCTGCAGTTCT